TTTGAAAGCAGTATAAAATAATTGATGACACACAAAAAAATCATTCTCACAACAAATACTATATCATGTATGGTGCCTCTATCCTGCATAGTTTCTTTCTAGACATTTTACCTATAGGCTGAAGTGGCACAAGTGATGATGATGATGATGATGATAATGACAGTATACACAGCAAACAAGATAACCATGCTGGGTTTCAAATCATAAATCACTAGTTGAACACTTCACAAGTGTTTAGGACCGTGTGATGTATCGGTGGATTATGCAAGCAGATCCCAGTAAGGTGGCCTTCTGCAACTGACCAATGGTGATCTTGTCAGTGCCGATTGTTTTTAAGTGCTTGCCTAGGTCCAGTGTGCTGATTACCACTGGAACCATCTGCACTGGTTTATGCCAGAGTCTCTGCAATTCGATTCTCAAGTCCTAATATCTAGTGACTTTTTCAAGTTGTTTCTTGTCAATTCTGCTGTCACCAGGTATGGAAATGTCAACGATCCACACTTTTTTCTTCTCCACAATCATGATATCCGGGGTATTGTGTTTCAACTCTTTTTCAGTCTGTATTCGGAAGTCCCACAGTAGTTTTGCATGCTCATTTTCAACCACTTTTTCAGGCTTATGAAAAAGATACTGCTGCTGCTGCTGCTGCTGCTGATGATGATGATGATGATTATTATTATTATTATTATTATGCAAAAAGGTCCTCTAGGTTCCTTTTAGATATTTATAAAAAGTTATCTCTGCCTTACATCTCTAACTGTATTTTTCCTGCTGTAGAAAGGCAGCCTGACACATATAAATTTGTTGGCAGCCCTGGCTGACATGCTTTTATAAGAGCCAAACATTTGCTTTCAAGCTTCCTGAGCAATCTGCTGCTTTCAGATCCAAATTGGGAAAATGATTCCATGCATTTGTTGCTCCCTTGAGACCCGCCTAACTTTAAAGGCAAGCAATATGGCAGGGAAAGAGAGGAGGGAAAAGGCCTGCTCATCTATCTATGCTCATTCTTAAAAAAATGCATTAGTTCCATTTCTGTAGCAGAATCATTATTCTTCCATATGATTTACAGCACTATACCCTTATGTGGCTTCTAATGATCTTCCTTCTTTATTATCTCTATCAATTCAAGACGTCCTGTGACTGTATGGTTTCTCCCACTGCCATTTGTGGTCCCACTTTCTTCATTGGCTGTACCATGACAAAAAAAAAAGAAAAATACATTATTGTGACTATGTTTTGGAATTGGCACAACATTCCTGTTCACGGCTGGGTTAGCCTCTTGACTTTCTATTTTCCAAAGCTCTTTGATTAAGTCTTTAGCAGGCCATGGAATTGACCATTTAAACAGAAGGAATTAATAACCAAAGAAATAGGAGTGTTTCTTGTATCTGTATCTAGACATAATAGAAGGATACTTAAAATTGTGCCCTTTCTCTCTAGTGGCCTGTGTTTAGAGTTTTGCTTAATTCATGATTGTGGAACTGTTTGAGAACCACACATTCCTTGGAATTTATTAGAGACACATACAAGGGAAAAGGGAGAGAGAAAGAGAGAGAGAGAGAGAGAGAAAGAAAGTTCAGAATAAAATATGGATTCTTAAGAAAATATTTTTCTTAAACCCAATCTATTTATTTCAGCAATTCATTTCACCCAACGAATCTTCCTAACTTTATCAAATCTGAACAATTCTATTTTAAGTAGTTCCTTAATTGCTGGAAAAAAATGGCAGCTAAGGAGTGTATTCAGGTGGGACAGAAAACAAAGGCCAATGAAACCACGGATGACATCAGCTTAGTGCTATGATGTAAGCAATAAATGGCCACAGGCAAACTTTTAAATGTCTTTCAGAGGCTTTCCAAGGCACACACAACCATGAAATATAGACTAGTTTTACAGCCACTCCTTGGTATGGGATGTATAAAAGGAGTTCCTGGGAATCTATCATCGTCATCATCATCATCATCATCATCACCATCATCATCATTATCTAACCTTAGGAGAAACATAGGAATTAACAAACCATTAAGGAGGACTTTCAAAAAAAAAAATTACACAATCCCAAAAAGGAGAAGATTATAAGAAAGCAACTAAAAATAATCCTGCCTTGATTTTGTTTAATATAAAATGGGATGGAAAAAACCTCAGACAAGATTTCAGGATTTCTCTTATCTTACCTTACCAAAATAAAGACCATGACTGGAATTGCTGCCATGCCTCTTTCTTGGTCTGGCCCATCTGGAAGCCCTGACAAATCAAGGACAGTGATAAATACTCTAATTATACCATATCCTTACCCATTATGATGTATGTCCATCAAGGTAACACCTTTAGTTTTGCATTTTCTGCTTTGGGGACCTTGATCCAATATTCAATAGCTCTCCTGATAGTTCAATATTCTTAATTTCCAAGAAAGCAAATCCAGTGCAGAATATCTACAATGCAAGAATACTAAGTTCAGACATGGATTCAATCATCATTTAAAGGAAATATAATATTTGCCTTATAGGATGAAAATGAAGTGATAAATACGCTAATGATCCATCAGACATTGTGTGCTGCACTTATGGCAATTTTAATGTCTTGATCTGAAATCTGGCTCATTTTAAAGTTGGTGACACCTTAGAGATCATTTAGTCTAAGTCTTTTTTTTAGTGCAGAAAAGTCTAAAGAGTGTTTAACGTATGGTTTGAAGACCTCCAATATAAAACTAGAACTCACTACTTTACGTGTTCAATGAGTATTGCTTTGAGAAGCAAAAGAATTTGAGGTTTTTATCAATGCATGTTTCAGGTTTGCATTAAGTAAAGTGGCTGTCCTGTGCTTTTATTATAACTGCAGAGTTTCTTCTCAAATTTCTGTTCTTAATTTGCTTATTAATTAATTAATTAATTATTAATTTGCTTAATTTGTTATTTTTTTTACAGTTACTACCCAAATCAATTTTAATAGAGATGCTGAGACATAAACTCTAATGCTAGGCTATGAAAAAGATACTTTCAACTAACAACATCATTTGTCTTCTTAGCAGCTCAGGTAAGTTGTCAGCCTGCACTGCCTGCTTGATTAACTCAGCTTCCCTGACTTTTTTTTTCCTTACTGACCCTGTAAGGATTGACTATGGTAATTAGATGGGGAAATGCACTCCAGTGTGAACTCTCTACTGTCTGCACTTTATGTATTTCTCACAAGGCTACTGTAAGTTTTCATAAAGATGCCACCAGGTCTTTCAAAAGAATTTCATGAATAAATGATGGTTTGAAGCAGGACACATTCTCCTTGCTTGTAGTATTGACTTACAAGTTATGTCACGAAGCATGTGGCTCAGTGGCTTAATGATGCTGGAGATGGTCTTAGCTTTGGTGGTTTGAGTCCTAGAACTGCATGGCAGGGTGAGTTCCTGTCATTTGCCTCAGCTTCTTTCCACCTAACAGTTCAAAAACATGTTCTATGCAAATAGATAGATACTACTTTGGTGGAAATACAAGCTGGTGCTCTGTGCAGGCAGGCAGTTTCCTGTCTGAACCTTCCTGTTTGCAGCATCTGTTTGTGAGGCAGCTCCAGGAAGGGAGGGACCCTTGGATGACATTTAAGGAGGGAGCAAAGCCAGCTTACTCTCCTGTGGCATTCCTTGGGAAGTGTGCAAATGCTTCCTATAACAGAGCTGTCACCTTGGCAAGCCAAACTACTTCACTGTGTTAGTACACTGTAACAAATCCATACACTAATAATAGCAATAGCAATAACAATAAATGACAACAACAGTAATCTATGTCTTCTCCTTGGATTGCACAGGTAGCTGCCTAGCTATTTTAAATAGTCAGCAGAAAGGTGTTATGCTCCCTGTCTTATGTCCTGAAGAATCATTTCTGAAATATTTTCCAAATACTGCATGGGTCATACAGTGTAAAGATAGAAATTTTTTTAAAAAATGAATGAAATCAAACTTAATAGATATTCCCCAACTCTTGGAGATAAATGGTATTTATTGAAGGGAAGAAACAGCCTAATCCACCTTTAGAAGAAGGACTTTGGTGCAGTGGAAAAGCATATACTTAACAGTAGTTCTTTTGGGTGAAAAAAACATTTTTTAGTCTTTGAGAAGTACTATGGCACAGAGTAAGAATAATTTGTCTAAATTAATGTTTTATTGTATACATTGGAGTAATAGAGATGAAGACTGCTGTTCAGCAGCATTTGTCTTTCAAGGAGTTGGTCCTAATTTTTAACAATTCTTATAGAAGCTTTAGGGTGGCAGAGCGGCTCAGTGGTTAAGATGCTGGACTTGTCAGCTGAAAAGCCAGTAGCCCAGTTTTGAGACCAGACCCAAGCATCACATGATGGGTGAGCTCCCATCCTCGCGCCAACTTCTGCCAACCTAGTAGTTCGAAAGCTTGCAAATGCAAGTAGATAAATAGATAACCCTTCAGTAAGATGTCTACAGAGCACAGTGATGTCATTCTGGCCACATGATCATGGAAATGTCTTTGGACAGCTCTGGCTCAGTGGTTTTGAAACAGACATGAGCTGCGCCCTCTATGGTCATCAATAACGAGCAGAGTAAAATCCACAGAGACTTTTTTTAAACAAATAGAAGATTTACTTTATTGCACAATAGTGAGCTGTAATATCAATTTTGTAGAATGAATTCTCTCTTTTTTTATTTTTTTTAAAAAAGGAAACAGTGGGCATTCCATTCAAAAAGGGTAGTGCTTTTACCATTCTTACCTCTGAGCTTTCTTAAGTGCTACAAAATATCCTCTCTCCTTCCTTCTTCACGGATCAGAGGAAAGTGTCAGTTCACATACTGGAACCTTTGTATGCTATCATTTTATAAGACATGGGTCATACTTGTCATCTTACTATTTTGCACTGTTTTCAAACAAACTTTTCCAATGACAAGTCTGAGTGATTCCCTGTATGCTAGAGCCAAGGGCAATGCCCCAGGCTTACAGAGTCCATGTAGGTCCCCCCCACACACCCATTTTAAAACATCTATATCAAGTTGAAAGTGTGCCTGAATAAGGATCTTGAAAATGTGTATCTTTTATTGGACTAAATACAATAGCTGAGATTGAAGGAAGCATTCAAATCTTAGATTCTATTTTAAAACAAAGCAAAGAGGAATCTTTGGTTTCTTAAGCTTCTGCATTTCCTAATTTGATGCTAACCTCCAGAGATGTGGATTTACAAATTCCCTAATTCCCAGTCAAATTGGTTCTGTTACAAACCCATTTCGCAAAAGCATTAAATAGGGGAGGTTATATATACTGCATATGTGTGCTTGGTGTTTGTTCAAAATGTTTACTGTTGCTGACATTTTCTCCCCTCTGATTATATGCTATGTTTTATTCATATGGTTATTTTAATTTTCTTTCTTTTTAAAAAATTTTTATTGGTTTTTAAAAACAAACATAAACAAACAAAACATAAAAACATCAAGCTATCTTCCATAGGTGTACATACAGTGTTCTGGTTGCTTTACAAATTGTTTTGTGCTTCCAGTTCATAGTCTTCAATTACAATTACGTTACATATAATCTCCTATTGTCAATCAAAAATTAAATACCTTAGCATCATTATTAATCAATCATCTGACTATGCTTTTATTCATTTATGTTTTACAAGATAACCATAACTTACTTAATTTATTTTATAACAGTTCATATTATCATCCCAAATCTATCCTAAAATCATTTTGTAGTTATAATAAGAAATAAGTACATCTTTATATATTTATTATTTTCTAAAAATCCACATATTTCATTACTGTACTTTGTTGTCTAACAATTGATAGAAAAGATCCCAAATTTTATAAAATTGTTTATCCTCTTGTTCTCTAATTTCAAATGTCAATCTACTCATTTCAGCACATTCCAATATTTTCTTAATGATTTCCTCCTGTGATGGTATTTTCTCATTTTTCCAGTTTTTAGCAAATACAATCCTAGCAACTGTTAATACATTTACAGTCAGGTATTTCAAGACTTTATTATATATTTCAGGTAAAATTCCCAATAAAAATATCTCTGGTTTCAAGTCTATATGTTTTTCCATAATTTTTTCCAACCACATGTGGATTTTAGTCCAGTATTTTTTAGCATCCGCACAAGTCCACCACATATGGTAATATGAGCCAGGTGTCTGATGACATTTCCAACATTTTTCGGATTTATTCTTGAACATTCTTGCTATTCTTGTCGGGAGAAAATGCCACCTGTAAACATCTTATAAAAATTTTCTTTATATGCTGTTGACATTGTCATTTTATAATTTTGAGACCACAATTTTTGCCATTTCTCTAAATAAATCCCATATCCAAAATTCTTCGCCCAGGCAATCATAGTTTCTTTAACTTATTCTTCTTCTAGTTTAATTTCTAATAGATATCCATACAATTCTTAATCATCTTTTCATCAGTACCTGTCAAAATCTTATCTAAATCAGTCAATTTATCATAGAAACCTTCTGTTTTAGAATCTTTATCATACCTTGAATGTATTTGCGCATATGAAAACTGATTCATCTTTATACCTTGTCCCTCTAGTTTTTGCATAGATTTAAGTTCACCCTTTTCATTCAGTATTTCACCATATCTAACTGTTCGTTCCTTTTTGTATATTATAGGATACGAGAATGCTTCAATAGTTGATAACCAGACAGGAATTTTCAAATAACATTGTCTTTTAATCTTTTCCCAGTTTAACCGCAGAGACTCCCCTATATAATGTCTTCTAAAATACCCCTGTGTTTTAGTTCCTTTGTACCATAAAAAAGCATGCCACCCCAACAACAAATCATGTCCTTCTAATGTCTATAATCTAGCATTTATTAGTGTTATCCATTCCTTAACCCACATCAGATTTGTAGCTTGGTAGTACAATTCCCAATTAGGCAAACCAAATCCTCCTCTAATTCTAGCATCTTGCAAAAGTTTTAACTTTATTCTCGCTTTCTTTCCTTGCCATATATATTTCAACACAATTTTATTTAAATCTTCAAAGTAGTCTTTTCCAAGCCTAATTGGATTGTTTGAAACAAATATAAAATTCTGGGTAATATATTCATCTTGATTGTTGAGATTCTCCCTATTAGGGAGAGTTGTAAGTTTTCCCATTTCGCCAAATCTAGCGCTATCTGCTGTTTAAGTTTAATATAATTATTCTCTTTTAATGTACTACATCTTGCTGTCAAATATATCCCCACGTACTTGATCTTATTCGTGACTTGAATTTTCAATAGGTCTGCCAGTTCTTCCTTTTGTCTTAATAGCATATTCTTTGTCAAAATCTTTGTCTTATCTTTATTTTCAAACCAGCCACCTTTCCATATGTCTTATCTTTTCTATCAATTTTGATGCTGTTTCTAAAGGGTCTTCTAAAATGAAAACCAGATCATCCACAAATGCTTGCAGCTTAAATTCTTCCTTTTTGATTTTCATTCTGTTTATATTCTTTTCATCTCTAATATTTCTATTTAACACTTCCAAAGTTAACACAAACAACAAAGGTGATAGTGGGCACCCTTGTCTCGTTCCTTTTCTTATATTAATAGAGTCTGTCAGCTCTCCCTCTATCATTACCATTGCCGTTTGCTTATAGTATATAGCTTCTATTACTTTGATAAATTTTCTAGCAAAACCCATCTGTTCCAACAGTAATAACATGAATCGCCAATTCACATTATCAAATGCCTTCTGTGCATCTAGAAATATCAGAGCCATTTGTTTTTCAGGATGTGCCTCGTAGTATTCCAAGGTGTCCAAGATTACTCTCATATTGTCTTTAATTTGTCTTTTTGGCAGAAATCCATTTTGATCAGGATGGATAAAATTATTTAAATATTTTTTAAGTCTTTCTGGCAATATTGAAGCAAAGATTTTGTAATCTGCATTTAGTAAAGAAATGGGTCTATAGTTCTTAATTTGTAATGGGTCGGCCTCCTCTTTAGGAATAAGTGTAATATAGGCTTCTGACCATGATTTAGGTATCTTCTTCTTTAACATAACTTCATGCATAACTTCTAGCAATGGAACATTCAATGATTTTTGCAATGTTTTATAAAATTCTGCCGGAAGTCCATCTGGGCCTGGTGCCTTTCCATTATTTTGCTACTTGAGTGCCTCAGTTAACTCCATCATCGTTATGTTGCTTTCTAACATTTTTTCAGTCTCTTTAGGTATCTGAGGTAAATTAGCATTCTGTAAGTACTGCTTGACTCTTTCTTCATCAATATTTTCTTGCATATATAATTTCCCATAGAAGTCTCAAATGATTTTCTTCTTCTCTTTGCTACCATAGCAAACTTGGCCTTGGTCATCTATTAATTGCAATATTTTCCTTGATTCTTTCTCCTTTCTCAATTTGTATGCTAACCATCTACCTGGTTTGTTTGCGTCTTCAAAGTAGTTCTGTTTAGCACCTCTAATTTTCTGTGCTAATTCTTCTTTTTCTATTTGACCCATTTTGTGTTTAATTATATCCATTTTTAGCTTGATGTCCTTTTTCTGTGGCATTTTCTGTAGCTCTTTTTCAAGTCTTTTATGCTCATCCTCTAGGGCCTTAGAGGCTAGCCTTTTCATAGTATTCCTTTTCCTTGTATAGTTTATTATCAAGCCTCTAACATATGCCTTCACTGTATCCCATACATTCTGAATTGATGTATCTTCTTTTTTGTTTTCTCTAAAGAAAAAGGCCAATTCTTTCTCCATCCATTGTGTGAAGACTTTTTCCTTTAAAATAGTATTATTTAACGTACATCTAGATCTTCTTTTTTGTCCTTTCCATTTAATTGTCATTGGATTGTGATCTGCCCAAGTACTTGTTTCAATATTTATTTCTTGAATGTTAGTTATTAATTCTTTTGACATCCATATCATATCTATTCTGGACCATGATAAGTGTCTATTTGAATAGAAGGTATATTGTTTAGTTTTAGCATTTCTTTCCCTCCATGTATCTTTTAAGTTTATTTCAACTACCATTTCAAAAAAAGATTTAGGGAGAGTCTTTCTGTTTTGCTTTGTTGTTTTCTGTGCTGTATAGTCCAATTTGTTGTCTACAATTCCATTAAAATCTCCCATCATAACTATATTAGCATAGTCCAATTCAATTATTTTCATATGTAACTTTTTGTAGAATTCTTCTTGTTGTCATTCAAAGCATATATTGCAATCAGGAATGTTTTCATATTATTGTCCATTATTTCTACCATTAGTATTCTTCCATCACCATCGGTATAGATCAATTTTGCTGGGGTGGTCTCTTTAATATATAAAACCACTCCTCTTTTCTTACATTGTGTCAAGGAAGTAAATATTTTCCCTAATTTTGGCTGTACCAACAATTGTTCATATTGTTTTTTAATATGTACTTCTTGTAGACAGATTATATCAAATTTTAATTTCTCCAATTTATGAAAGGTTTTCCTTCTTTTAATGGCTGAGTTAAGTCCATTTATATTAATTGTAATCATTTTTTTTCTCTTCCATGGTTATATTTTATAGTTAAATTTAACAGCTCTCATAGATCTTAATTCACATTGTTCTTTGGCTTCAACCTTTCCACCTACTGCGTCTTCTTCTTTTTCAGTCGTCATTTGGCAGTCCTCTTGGAATTCAATTAATGAGATCTCTTTTTCTGCCTCTTCCTCTTTCCTTCCAAAAAATTCTGTATGAAATAATAATTCCGCTTTCTCAATTGAGTCAATTCTGTGTCTCTGTTCTTGCCATGTGAACATTAAACCTTCTGGAATCAGCCATCTATAATTCACCTCTTTTTAAAGTAGCATTTTAGTCAGGAATCGGTATTCTCTTCTCATCTCTTTCACTTTTCTGGGTATGTGTTTCAAGACCACAATCTCCTTGTCTTTGTATTTCAATGTTTTCTCTTTTGCCACTTGCAATATTTGTGTTTTAATGGCTTTCTTTGTAAATCTAATGTGAACTTCTCTTGGTAAGCTATTTCTCATCGCATATCTTGTGAAAACTCGATAAACCTCATCTATTCCATCTA